GAGGAGGAGGAGGAGGAGGAGGAGGAGGTGAGGTCTTGTCGTCGCAAGGCCTTGTTGGGCCTCTTCATCTCTACCCTTACCCGTGTGTCGTACGCACTGGCGGGCAGACTCGAGAGCACCTTGGAGTTGTTCTGGCCGCTCGAGTAGTAGCTGATTCTGAAGTCGGACAGATCGCGGAACTGCGTCTTCTGCTGCCACACGGCCCCGGGAGTGGTGATTGAACGGTCATTGGTGGCGGAGGCACCTTGATCCGCGCTGCGCTGATGGGGACGTGTAAAGTACACAGGAAAGAAGATGGCGCTGAACGCCACCACAGCCGCTACCACCGCCGCCACCAGCAGCCATGTTCGTCTTCGACGAGGCTGTGGCGGGGCAAGCATGGGTTGGCACTCTTGTAGGCTGGATTTTTCGGACATGGTCTGGATTGCGCGAAAGCCAGAGGTTGCCGTGGGGGGGATGGGTGGTACTTATATGGCCGAACGCCGCCGCCGGCTCGCTTGGATGCGGCAAACACGTGGGATGCGCTTCTCAATGCATCCATGCACCGGATCCAAGGGCCAACAGCATGATGCGCAGCTGCAGACTTGGACAGCCACCCAGCCGTGGCGCATGCACGCTTTCGCTCCATCAGTCGGAGCTCGAATTGGGCCCAACTTCCACGGCACCGCATCCAGCCAGCTTGGCTCCCATCGGTCAACTCGCAAAAAGTCCCCCACCCACTGAGGCTTCGAGAAGAGGACGATTCAAGACGCACAATCCGGACCCCCGACAACCACCATCGGCCCAAGAGCGAGCGCAGGACGGTACTCTGGCCCGAGCAAAACCTCGTGGCTTCTCGATCAACCCCGCAACTACAATGCCGTTCAATGTCCCTGGGCAAGCGTCGATTTGGAGACCAAGCTGGAGCGTGCTTGTTGTGGTTTGAGTTGTTCGAACCGGTTGATCGAGCAAGCCGTGCGTTTGCGTGTTGCTTGGCTCGATTTGGCTCGGCATTCTTTCGCAAGACCATCTTGGCGTCGGCGTGCCGAGTGTGCATCTGCTTTGATTCGAGCTTGCTCAGCTGCAAGAAAAAATCGAGGCGCAGCAAGCTTCTCACGACGTCAGCAGCGACTGGTTGAGCCGTTTAGACAGGCAGCTGGACCTGCTGATTGCTTCGACACCTGCGACTCGGCTGCAAGGCTCCAAGAGGGAGCGGCAAAGAGCAATCCCACACCGCACAGGCAAGAAAACTTCGCAAAGACTGGGTATGGCGGTAGAAATGCAAGATCGAGATCCTAACGTAGACCAGGCAAGCTCGAGGTCGCAACTGCACCCTTGACGGCGCTAGCCCTTGACGGCGGTAGCCCAGAGGCGGTTCCGATGATCCTCACCCTCGTCCGTCGCGATAACCCCCAACAAACAAACAGGTAAAGCTCCCCGACCACTTTCACTGACAACAGTCTCGGTTCGGTTGGAACCACAGCAACTTTCTTATCGTTTATACCCAAATCCTGATCATGCCCCCAATGTATACTGACAACGGCGCTGCGAAATCTGCCTGCCCCAGTCCAAAACACACCGCACAGACAAAACTTGCACGAACGACTTTTTGTGTATGGTGGTAGAAAAAAGATGCAAGATTGATCGGTACGAACGACAAGGCAATGCGGTAGAGAAAAAGTGAAAGAATACGAATGCGAATGGTGGTGAATGCAAGATATCTTGGAAGAGCGGATTGCTAGAAACGCGGCAGGATGTTGCCCGTAGTGCCAGCACGCAGCAGCGGTCGTCGACCCAGCGAGCCCACCCTGGGCTGGAGCAGCATGGTGACTGGCTTCCTCGATCCCGCCGCCGCACAGGGGCTATCGCCAATACCGTCCTCGAAGCTCGAATCGCCCACACTGCCAAAGCTGGTATCGCCCGCCGCTTGCTCGTTTGTCTCCTTACCCACTACGGACGACGACGACGCCTTGCTCGACAGGATCTTGGACATGCCCGGACACGGCGACTCGTCCATCAACGACGCCGCATCCTCCTCCTTGATCGTCTGACGCCCCTGGTACGACTGACTGACCTGCCTCCTGCCCTCGCCGTAGGTGAAGCTGCGGTGGCGCGAAAACTGCTTGCGAAATCCGTTGAGCTCACTCGACCTGCGCGCGAGGAAGCGCGGATCATCCATGCAGATGTACTGCTGCGGCTCGCACAGCTGCGCGTATTCGCGGAAGAAGCGACAGTATCCCCCCTGCAAGATGTAGATCTCCGGAAAGTGACAGTTGGGATAGTCGTGCGCCAGACCACGGTCTGCTTGGCGCAGCGCCAACGCCATCGACGGCGCGCGCTTGCAGCTAAACTCGCAGTGGAACACAATCACGTGTTTCCGGCGGTTGCCGTAGCGGTCCGCCCGCCCACTCTGCGAGCGCGGCGGAAGCTGGACGCCGCCCGCATGCCTGCCTTGGCCCGGTGTCAGAAAGTGGCCAACGACGCGGTCGACGGTGCTGAGGTTGATGGCGCCGGGGATGTGGCCGCCCTCGTACTCGTAGCCGAAACGGCAGTCGACCACCTGGAAGCTCTGGATCGCGTTGGTGTACTTGCCCGCCAGAAGGTCGGTCATGGTCTGCGGCGTGATGCGCATGAGACCGTCCTCCTTGACGTTGAAGCAGGGCAGCACTTTGCCCTCCTTCTCCGACGCACCGAAGCCGGGCAGGCTCTCTGCGCTGGCGGGCGAGCTGACGTAGGCCGGGTCGGCGAGCGCGAGGTCGTCGACCATGTCGTTGCCGCGCGAGCCGCTGCGCTTGATGCCCGTGCCGTAGGCGAGCGGCGAGCTGTCGTCCTTGCTGCCGCGGCGCAGCAAGTTGGGGCGCGTGCGCGCGCGCATGGCTGGGGCGATGGGCGAGCCGTTGGCGTCGGACATCTCGGCGTGGCTGGAAAGCGGGGTGCGGCGTCGATCGGGCGACGCAGGCGAGTCGATGGCAGGGGTAGCCAGCTTGGAGGGCGGCGCGCCGGCCGCGAGCGCAGGACGGTGGTCAAATGCCGAGAAGCAGCGACGCGGCGCAGGAGCCGTGGGCCGCACGACGCGGTTGGTCTGTCCGGCGACGCCGAGCACGGGGTAGGCACTCTTGACGGTGGCTGTGGCGTTGGTCAGCGAGGGACGCTTGACGTACGGGTTGGCGCGCTTGCCGAGCATGGTGCGCGAAGCAGCACCGGCGGCTGCAGTCGAGGTGGAGGCGGATGCCGAGGAGGAAGCGCTGGCGGCTCTGGGGACGGCAGCCACGGTGTTTGCGCGTGCAAAGGCGCGATTGCCGAGCGAGGTGGTCCTCTTGGGCGGCGGCATCCTGGTGCACGGGGACGAGGCGGGAGGAGACGAGACGCTGGGCGAGTTGGCCGCGCTGGACATGGCGGCGAGCAAGTTGGGCCCATCGACGGGGGGCATGCCGAGCCTGCTTCCAAGCTTCTCGGGCGACATGGGGTCGAAAAAGTAGCCGGCCATGGTGCCGGCCATGGTGCCGGCTATGGAGTTCATGGATGGGGAGGGCGAGGGGTTGGCATCGTCTTCGTCGGCGGCGTCGTCGTGGTCGTGGTCGAGCAATGCACGGTGCTGCCAGTGGCTGTCGTTTGTATCAGCTTGTTCGGCCGCCGTGGACTGCGCGCCGAGCTCGTTCTCGACGTCTTCAAAGAAGGATTCGGTGGAGCTTGCGCGTGAGGAGCGCTTGCTGTTGCGCTTGTTGAGGGAAGCGACGGCATCCGGGGAGCCGCTGCGGAGGGCGAAGCTGGAGGTGGGCTGCGAGGAGGTTGGCTGCGAGGAGGAGGCGACGCCAAAAGCACCGTCGAAGGTGGCGGAGAGCGCAGGCCTGGTCCTGGGAGGTGGGATGGCGGTGAGCGCTGCGGAGAGCTGGGAGATGCGCTCGTTTGCTTCGGATTGCCTTGTGGGGAGCGAGTTGGGTCTGCGCTTGGGCGGAGGCTCCTTGTCTGGGCTGCTGTTGAGGAGTTGCTGGTCTCTGGCAAAGATGCGGTTGGAGTTGAGGGCAATCTCTGCGCCAAAGAGACGGGAAGACATGGAGTGGGCGAGCTGGAGCGATGACTTGCGCTCTGCAGCGAGGGGGCGCGGTCGGGTGGAGCCGCCGAGGACGGGGTGGAGACGGTCGTGGTGGAGATTAGCGGCGGCTGCGGTGGATGGCCTTCCGACGTGGATGCTGTCCAAGAGGTGGGGCAGTGCTTCGGATGGGGAAGGGCCGAGATTGGCGAAGGGAGCGACGGGCGCGGGGGAGATGTCCATGTCCCTGGGGGAGCTCATTTTTGCGGCGAGGTTGGGGGAGCGGGCGTTGAGGGAGGTGCCCATGGCAGCGCCGAGGGAGTTGGCGGGGCGCGGGGAGATGTGCGAGGTGGGCTGGTGGTGAAGTTGTGCGAGGAATTGGGGCTGATGGGACTTTGCGTGAAAGGCGGTTGGGAGGCCGAGGGAGTTGCCAAAGAGGAAGGGTGGTGGGGGCATGGCGGCGGCTACTGCTGCTGCTGCTGCTGCTGCTGATGCTG